AAATTTTGCAAATCAACGAGGCAGAGAACTTCGCCAGGGTACTAAAATGTCAAATATGCAAAAAGGTAAGATCGCCTCGACGCAAATACATCCTTTTTCTTGACATACATGTGCTGTGTTGACAAATCCAACAGCAACGTTTACAACGAGAAATTTATATTAAGCGACGAATTACTTAAGTAGTTCATCGCATGGCGTTATGCGCGTCCGCACTATGTTACTTAGTGACGATGGTTCGATGTTACAGTCGGCCCCATTTAGGTTTTTTGCAAGCTTTGATGTTTGAGTTTTAGGATTGCCGTCCACTGGGTGCTCCAGGAAGTCCGCTGCTGCTGCGGCTCTGCTTCACGGACCTCCTGTGTATTAGTGTTAGCGTGAGTTTACACAAATTTAAATTTTCTTTTTCTGATAGATCTTTTTCAAGATAATTTGGTTGAGCAACTTGCCTCGAGTTCCGTCCATGTGAATGGTTTTTCACATTCTACACATCGAATTGGAAATTCGTGCTTCTCGATTGCTGTTTTCACCTAAAACCAATCAATAAATAAATCTTTTACACGAAAACAGCTGCTTGAACCATAGGAAATATTAAATGCAAGAAACAACTTAGCCCCCCCTCTCTCCCCTCTCCGCCTCGGATAAAAAGTCATCCCTTTATCCATAATTCACTGTCTAAAAGAGGCGGAGAAAATTCAAATGTATCTCGAACAGTAGCGCATTTCCAGCTTCAAATGACCCTCTCTTTCTAATATTATCAACCTCGTACACCTGGGTCCCACGTACCGACGCTTCAAAAAAATATGCAAATTTTTTGGCAGGAAAGTGATCTCGGGAACCAGACAAGATAGAGAGCTGAAACTTTGTAAGGGTATCATCCTTCGTGCATGTGTGAGCTAAAGATTTGATGGCCCCTTTTTATAACAGCTGCAGAAAGACAGGACGATGATGGAGCTGAGTCCCCAACAAGCGCCAGAACAGTGTTTACATCAAAATGAGCTAATTAGGATCGGATAAAATGCAAGACGAGCAAAGGAATGAGAAGAGAGGATGCCGAAGATATGTGTGGGAGTCCGAAGAAAAAAAAATAAGCGGGGGAATTTTGCCACGAACGAAGTACTTTTTACAGCGGATATGGATTACAGGATATCGAGATCTTCGTCTTTACTATCCATAAATTCGTTGAATCGCGGCAAATTAGCTACTAAAAGGCTCCTGTGATCACACTCATATCAATTGGAACCGATGAAGCTGCATGTGGCATATACAAAATGTCTGGCTGCTAACACAGTCAGTGTATTACCACTGAATATTTCACATAATAACGATTTATGGTTTTTTGTTAGAAATTACTTGAAC